TTGCACCGCAACAGTGCCACAACGCCCATTGCACTATCTATACATACTAGAACCATCGCGCGCTTGGCGCGCGCTCAAGTTCTAGCTAGGGTCATGATCATCGTCATCATTGTCATCTTCATCCCGGTCATCTTCATCGTCATGGTCATGGTCACGGTCACCTTCACCATCACCATCACAACAAACATTATTATTACCATTATCATCCTCATCATCGTGATCACCATCGCCATCATCGTCATCGTACCTTTTAGCATCATCATCCGCATCATCAACATCATGTTGGTCGTCGTCGGCGTCGTCGTCGGCATAATCATCGTCATCAACATCATCATTATCATCAGCGTCATTGCCGTCACCATCCCGGTCCACTGCAATCCCCTTCCCCTCCTCCTCTTCCTGTTCCCCCTCTTCCCATCATCTTATAGTCATCCTTATCCTCGTCGGCGTCTCCCTGAAAGGGTTCCCTGTTCCTTCACCTCCTCCTCCTCTTCCTCCTCCTTCTCCTCCTCCCTGTCTTCCCCACTCTTCGGTGTGTCCCTCCTTGTGTTCCTTCATCTATTTCACCTCCTTCCTCCTCTCGAGCCCTCTTCATCCTGCGCTCCCCTTCCCTCCTCGCCTTCTGCATCCCTCCCCGAGCCAGAAAATGAGAGAACAAGATGATCTTACAAGAACAATGTCCCTCCTCCTCTTCCCCCTCCTCTTCCCCCTCTTCGTCCTCCTGATCTTCCTCCCCCTCCTCCTCCTCCTCCTCCTCCTCCTCCTCCTCCTCATGCTGCGCATCCTCCTCCTCCTACTCCTCCTCCGCATCCTCCTCCTCCTCCTCCCTCCTCCACCTCCTCCTTCTCCTCCTCCTCCTCCTCCTCCTCCTCCTCCTCCTCATGATCATCATCCCCCATCCTTATCCTCCTCCTCATCCTCTGCACCATCACCACCACAAGCATCATCAGCATCGTCATCATCCTCCTGCTCCTCCACCTCCTCCTCTCCTACCTCCTTCTCCTCCTCCTCCTCCTCCTCCTCCTCCTCCTCCTCCTCCTCCTCCTCCTCCTCCTCCTCCTCCTCCTCCTCCTCCTCCTCCTCCCCCTTGTCCCTTTCCCCCTCTCTTCTCTCAACGCACCCAATACATGGATGCTTACTGGAACGCGTGCTGGGAGCCTTTGCTTCTAGGAGCATTGTGGCAGTCTCTGGAGCACCTCCGGGCCTTCATTTGGAATCCTTTGGAGCCTTTATTAACACGTCTGAAGGCCCGTTCCGGGTCCCTCTTGGCTAGTCGTGGGGAGCTCAGCCCGTCTTGGGGCCCTCCTGGGGCCATGTAGGAATCCTCTGGTTGCCCCCTCGGAATTCCTGGGAGCTCTCTTGGGCCGTCTTGTAGCTCTTCTGTGCCGCTTGAAGCGCTCTTCAGCCCATCTTGGAACCCTCTTTGGGGCCCCTGGAGCCGTCTGGGGCCCATTTTGGTAATCGATTGGGCCGTCGCGACCGCTGGTCGCACTGAAAAGAGAAGCTCCAAGAAATATGCGATTCTCCATCGGAAATACTTGACTTTTCCTTTGGAGGGCCTTCTCAACGGCCTCTTAGACAGTCGTGGGGGGGTCCTTTTGTGCCCTTTGTGGCCCGTCTGGGAGCCCATTTCGGCTGTCTCAAGCCCCTCTTGGCATGTAATGGGTAGCTGAGCCCTCTTGGGGCCCTCATCGAGCCCTCTCCGACCATGTAGGGATCCTCCGGTTGTTCCCTCGGGCCCCCTGGGAACTCCTTCGGGCTGTTTTGGAGCTCCCTTGTGCTGGTCGACGCTCTCTTGAGGCTGTCTTGGAGCCCTCTTGGGGGCCTCGTGGACCGTGCGGCGCCGATTAGGGGAGCCTTTGGGGCCGACGTGGCCGCCGATGGAACAAAGAAGCGAATCTCATAGAAATGTACACCTTTCCATGGGATGTGCTCGTTTGTTGCACTCGGAGGCCTTCTCAACGGCCCCCGGGATCGTCTTCAGGGAGTCCTGATAGTCCTTTCTTGGACCCTCTGGGAGCCCAGTTCGGCCGTTCTGGGTCCCTCTTCGCCCGTCATGGGAATCTGAGCCCGTCTTGGGACCCTCGGAGGGCCCTCTCCGACCATGTAGGAATCCTCCGGCGACCCCCTCGGGTAGTCTCTTGGGCCGTGTTGGGGCTCTCTTGTGCTGCTTGAAGCTCTCTGCTGGCCGTCTGGGGGCCCTCTTGGGGGCCTATAGCTAGGGCCGGCGGAGGTTCATTTGGGGAGCCTCTCGAGCCGTCACCGCCGCTGGTAGGACTGAAAAAGCAAATATCAAAGAAAGATACGTTGTCCCATGGGGGATGTTTGAATTGAGTTTTGCCTTTGGAAGACCTTATCGGCGGCCTCTTGGACCGTCTTGAATGCCTATGTGGCCGTCTAGGCGCAGTCTTGGGCTGTCTTCGAGCGCTCGTGGCCCGTCCAGAAGCCATGTCAATGTGTTATTCAGCCACCTTCCACACAACCTGGGGTGTTTGGGGCGCCTCTTGAGCCAGTTTGGGAGCCTCTGGGGAGGTCCAGAGCCCCTTCTGAAACCACCTAGAGTCCTCAAGGCAACCCCCAGCCACCCATGCGAACCAGAGGCCGCAGATCTGGGCCCTCCCCCGGCCTACTCCGATATACCTATATATACACATACATGTGTGTATATACATATAATGCATATGCATTACATTGGACCACACCGAATGCGCAACGCAACGGTGTACCAAAAACAACGCACCACGTAGATCGCATCGCGTAAAAATGCCCTCTTTTTTATTATATATATATATATACACATATATATATATAAATAAAAAAAAAAAATGGGGTCAGTTCCTGCCCCGCAATTGACGCCCTCGTTTTCGCATCGGCATGAACATATGATGGTGCCCCATTACTCATCTTAGAAATCGACCCATCTCATCCCAGCCAAACATGCATCCCCCTCATTTTGGAAACGGTAAAGTGTTTCTGTTTTGTTGCGCGACAGCCACGGCAGCGCGTCCGAATTGCCGAGCCATGTCCTGCACTCCCGCCCGGAATTTCTGTCAAAGGGCATCTACAACTCGCTGAACACATGCCCAAGGTCGCCGCGACCCGATGCAGCGCGACTCTGACTACTCGAGAAAATGCATCGCGGGGTAAACGGGCAGGGCCCCCCGAGCGGGCCGTGCTCCCGCATCACCACCGCATATCCAAGGCAGTATTAAGGCAGCCCGCGCATTTTACTGAAGCGAAGAAACGGCTTTACTCAAGCGACGAAACGGCGTTACCAAAAGAAGACGCGGCTTTGGTAAAAGTGCGTCGCTAGATACACTCCGGAAGCAAAGAAAACTTGCATTAAAGCGACAACAATTTTAGTAAAGCGGAGGATCGGCTGCGCGCAGACATTTCGCTCCTCCCATGAAATCTGGGCCGGGACTCCAAGAGCGAGGGCGGGGCGCAAGTTCGCCCGTGGGCCCAGGCCCCGTCGCCGCCGTCGCCGCGATGTTCGTCGTCGCCGCCGTCGCCGTTGCCGCCGTCGTCGTCGCCGTCCACGCTGGCGCCGCCGTGGTCGTCGCCGTCGCCGTCGTCGTCGCCGCGACGCCCGCGCAGTCACGTTATTACCAACGGCGGGTCGCGCGACATCGCGCGCGCCACTGCGCTCGCATCCCCGCTTGTCCGACGGGGGGCCAGGCGGAAATCATGACTTGTTTTGTGTTCGCAACTCGTTTAAAGAAAAAGTGAAACAAAAGAGCCTTTTGATCATCCTTTGCGAAGTCCAAGTATGCGCGAAAACTCGTGCATCAAAACTCATCAGTGTCCAAGAATCATGTGCAAACGACGGCACGACAAGGCTCACGCGCGCGTCGTCCCGCGCCCATGCCAAACTCCTTCAACAACCTCAAGTGCCGTAGTGATTTCAAGATCGGGCGCCCCGAAAACATATAACAACATGGTTTAACAACATCAGTTGTCAAACCAGAAAATCAGGAAGAAGAGCGCGCTCGAACTACTGTTGACTCTAGGAAGAAACCTGGGGTCGTTCAGCCTTTTCCATCGAATTCTGCCAAACGGGCCTTCCGCGTCGCATGTCGAAATCATTCGAACGCCCTTTGCGCGCGCGCTGTGTGTGGAGGGGGGGGGGGGACGATCCGAACCAAAGAATACCATACGGGCCACTCTACCGCGTCGGCCACTCCCGCATGCCGAACTCCGCGCAGAACGGTCATCACCGACGCGAGGACACCGTCATCGTCGCCGGCGTGATCACCATCAACGCCGTCACTGGCCGTGCCGTCGTGGACGTTGCCACCATCGTCGCGTCTATTGTAATCAGAGTTGCCATGGTACCGCGCCCGCCCACGTCGCCGACTAGCACTGGACTGTCCGCTGGGAGGTCCCCAGCGCTGCCGCGGCCGCGGCCGCGTCGGTTGCGCCAAACTAGCTGGCCGCTTTGCGCGCGAGCATGCGCGCCAGCGCGCGAGCATGCGCTCTGGCGCGGCCTAGGCGATGCGCCAGACAGCGCCGAGCAGTCGCAAAGCAGTCGTCGCAATCGCCGCCGCATGGGCTTTGCAAACCCAGTTGCGGGCGGGCGGGTGGGATGATTGCGCGAGCAGTAAAATTAGCAACTTCATGTTTGGCGGGGTGAACTGTGCCGCCAAGATTGTCTGAAAGAATATCAGGAATACACCCCCCCGGCCCCCCCCCTCCGGGACTTCGGAAAGAGCGCGTTGTCGGCGTTTGGAGGGGGGGAGGGGCTTGGAACCGGACCGCCCCCCCTGGCTTAAAGGGGGGGGGCTGTTCGAACCCCCCTCTCTCCCTCCCCTTTCTCCGTCACGGGAAAGAGGGGGGCGGGGGTTCGAACCCCCCGCCCTTCTCCCGTGACGGAGAGGGGGGGAAGGGTTCGAACCCCCGCCCCATCCCCTGCCTTTCTCCCTCCCCTCGGGCCGGCGCCGGCGTCAGCGGCGGCTGGCCCCGGCGGCGGGGAACGTCGATGAAGACGACGTTTCAATTTTCTAGGCCGGCGCCAGCGCCTGCGGCGGCTGGCGGCGGCGGCGGCGGGGAGCGTCGACGAGGACGACGGCGACGACGATGACGACGATGCTCCGCCACCGTGCCTTGGTTTTGGGTCACAGTCTTAATGGATGCCCTGTGGGTTCTCGTCGGAGGGCTCTCGGGGGCCTCTAGAGGGCATTTGTGAAGCCTCTTGGGCGCCTGTTGGGCATTTCTTGGGGCCTCCCTGAGGTGGTGGTGGTGGTGGTGGTGGTGGGCTGTGGTGGTGGTGATGGTGGTGGCGGTGGTTGTGGCGGTGGTGGTGGTGGCGGTGGTGATGGTGTGGTGGTTGCTGGTGGTGGTGTTGGTGGTGGTGGTTGCTGTGGTTGTGGTGGCGGGCTGTGGTGGTGGTGGTGACGTGGTGGTTTGTCGTGGTGGTGGTGGTGGTGGTGGGTCGCGGTGGTGGTGAGGTGGTTTCTGGTGGTGGTGGTGGTGGTAGATGTGGTGGGTTGTGGTGGTGGCTGTGGTGGCGGTGGTGGTGTGGTGGTTTGTCGCGGTGGTTGTAGTGGTGGTGGTGGTTCTGGTGGCGGTGGGTTGTGGTGGTGGTGGTGATGGCGGTGGTGATTGTTGTGGCGGTGGTGGTGTGATGGTTTGTTGTGGTGGTTGTGGTTGTGGTGGTGGGTGGTGGTGGCGGTGGTGGTGAAGGTTGTATGGTGGTTTGTGATGGTGGTGGTTGTGTGGTGGTTTGTGGTGGTGGTGGTGGTGGCATTGATGTTGGTGGTTGTGGCCTGGTGAATGTGTGGTCGTGGTGGTGGTGGTGGCGGCGGTGGTGGCAGCAGTGGGGTATGGAAGTGGTGTTGGTGGTGGCGGCGGCGGTGGTGGTAGTGGTGTTATGGTTTGTGGTGGTGGTTGTGGTGGCGGTGGTCGGATGTTTTGGTGGTGAGGTGGTGGTTGTGGCAGTGGTGGTGGCAGTGTTTGCGTTGTGGTTTGCTATGGTCGTGGTGGTGGTGGTTGTGTGGTGGTTTGTGGTGGTGGTGTGGTCGTTTGTGGTGGTGGTGGTGGTGGGTTGTGCTGCTGGTGGTGGTGGTTGTGGCGGTCGTGGTGGTGGTGGTGGAGTGGTAAATAGTAGCGGTGGTGGTCGTGGTGGTAGTTGTTGTGGTTGTGGTGGTGGGTTTTTGTGGTCGTGGTGGTGGTGGTGGCTGTGGTGGTGGTTGTGTGGTGGTTTGTGGTTGTGGTGGTGGTGGTGCATTTAAGTGGTGGTGGTGGTGGCGGTGGTGTTGGTAGTGGTGGTGGCGGTGGTGGTGATGGCATGGTGGTGTGTCGAGGTGGTGGTGGTGGTGATGGACTGTGGTAGTGGGTTGTGGCGGTGGCGCTGCTGGTGGTGGTGCTGGTGGTGGTGGTGGGTGGATTGTGGTGGTGGTGGTGGTGATGGTGGTGTGGTGGTTTGTGGTGGTGGTGGGTTTTGGTCGTGGTGGTGGCGGTAGTGTTGGTGGTGGTGGTGGAGTGGTAATTACTGGTGGTGGTTGTGCTGGTGGTTTTGGTGGGTTGTGCTGGTTTGTGGTGGTTGTGGTGGCGTTTTTGGTGGTGGTGGTGGTGCACTGGGTACGGGTTTGTGGTGATAGTGGTGATTGCGGTGGTGGGTTGTGGTGGTTTCCGTGGTGGTGGTGGCTGTGGTGGTGGTGGCGTTGTTGTTTGTGGTGGCGTGGCCTTCGGGTCTTCCCACCCCCGGTTTTTGGCTTTGGGTCAACGTTCTAATGGATGGCTCTTGAAATATCGTCAGAGAGGTCCTGGGGACGTCTGTTTGTGAAGCCTCCTCGACCTTCCTGGGGGCCTCTCGGTGGCTTTCGGGGGGCGGGGGCTCGATATTGCGTTTTGTGCTTCCCTTCTGTGGCCCGTTGGCCCTCTTTGGTCTTCGTTGCTGCGTCCCCGCCGACGGCGCTGCTGGCCGCTGGCCGCTGCCAGCGCTGGCGCTGGCGCCGGCGCCGCGGGGGGGAGGTTTGGACCCCCCCCTTCCCTCCCTGAGCCCTCTCTGGTCATCGTTGCTGCGTCCCCGCCGCGGCGCTGCTGGCCGACGCCAGCGCCGGCGCCAGCGCTGGCGTCGGCGCCGGGGGGGGGTGGGGGGCCGGGTTTTGGACCGTCCCCCCTGGGAGGGGAGGGGGGGGTTCGGGAGGGGGGGGGTAATGGGGAGGGGGGTCCCCCTGGTTTTGGTCGACGGCGCCGAATGTTGGGGGGGGGGACCTCCCCAGTTTGAAATGTGCCGCCGAATGTTCCCAAGGCCAGCGCCCGTGAAACGCGCTCTCTCGGACATCGCTGACCCCAGGTCAGCATTGTAATACATGCGATTATGTCCGATCGTCCATCCTGAATAAAAATGCGTATCATTTTTGCTAAACTGATACCCCCCAAGTAAGTGTGCGCACTCCTCTAAAACAAATGCAAATGTCCAACAATGATTTCCAAAAAAACGGGACCGCGCGTGTCGACCCCAGCGAGTGCCAAAATCCTTTGATGAAACCATCGGTTTCGAAAGGGTTCCAAGATCGAATGCCCTGATATTTTTTAATTTGTAACGAACATAAGGCTTCGCTCACGCATTTGAAAAAATGACAGAAACTTGCGCTTGGGTTTTTGCGAAATCTGGAGGAAACCACAAATTGCTATTGAGAAAACGGGCCTCTCGCGCGCGCGTGTCGGAATCGTTCGAACGCCCGTGCGCGCGTGCTGCCAAACAGGTCCCATGCGCGTCGTCTCGCGCGCGGGCCACAATTATTTAAACACTCCGGGTTTCGGAAAGATTTCAAAATCAGGTGTGCCGAACGCATATCTGAAACATATGGCTTTGCAACGTCAGATTGTATTCAGATGAATGGACTCGCGCTCCTGCGACTTCTTAACGAATTCACTGGTGTTCAACATGTTCACTAAATTCTGCCAAGCGGGCCAGTCGCGCCGCGTGTCGAACTCACTCAACCGCCCTTGCGCGCATGATTGGGCGGAGGTGGCGCGATCCGAATCAAAAAATTCCATGCTGGCCACTTTCGCGCGACGGCCGCGCGCGTGCCAAACACCGTTGAGAACCATCATCGCCGACGCGACGGCGCCGTCATCGTCGTTGGCGTGATCACCATCGGCGCCGTCACTGGTCTCTCCGTCTTCGTTGTCACCATCGTCGCCAGCACCGCTACCATCACCATCGCGTCTACCGTCATTGATGCTGCCATGATGCCATGCCCGCCCATGTCGCCGATTCTCATTGAAGTGCCCGCTGGCACGCGCCCACAAGCCAGCGCCGCCGCGCTCAGAGTGGTCGCGCCGAACTAGCTGGCCGCCGCGCGCGCGAGCCGGCGCGGGCGACCGCGGCCGCAAATGCACCAGCCGACGCAAAGCACGCATGACAATCGCCGCCACATGAGCGTCGCAAACGAAGTGGGTGGGCGATTGGGGTGATTGCGCAAGCAGTAGTTGAAGACTGCGAGTTCTGCGCGCAATTGAACGTATAATCTCCTTCATAAGAAAACTCAGGATCCCCCTCCCCCCCTTCAACAAGAAATAGGCGGCCCCCTTTTGCGCGCTGGAATGTAAATATGTTTCTGCCCCACCGTCTACATTGAATATGAATTCAAATCGTCCCAGCTAAACCGGCACCCCCCCTTCATCCAATGCAAAAAATAGGACGGGCACTCGTTGACCGGATACCACCAACGTTCGGTAAAAAGCCATGCGTATAAAATAATAGTTGTTTTATATATACTATATATAATGTGTATATATATACTATAGATTTACGATATATATTATAAATAATGCAATAAAAAAATGTCAGGGGGGGGGAGTATATATATATATATATATATATAAAAAAAAAAAAAAAAAAAAAAAAAAAAAAAAAAAAAAAAAAAAAAAAAAAAAAAAAAAAAAAAAAACGTGCGCGCGCGTCGTCGCGCGCGCATGCAGAAACCTCCTAAGACATTCGGCCGGGCAGAAATTCCAGAATCAACCGCCTCGGAAACATTACTTTAAATTACAAGAAACATGGATTCGCAACAATCGATTAAACAATAACCCGCGCTCGCGCAAATCCAGATTTCATGCGGAAAACAAAAATTTCCAGCGTGCGCATAACATGCGACCAAAAAGGCTTCTCGCGCGAGCATGTCGAAATCGCCCGAACGCTTTTGCACGCGCGATCTCGCAAGAGTCCTTTGCAAAAACGGAACGAAATGCACGCGCGCGCGACATCGCGCGCGCGACGACATTCTTCCAAAACCTCTGATTTCGCAAAGACTTCGAAACCGATGTTTCCGAACACAGGTAAGAAACACGTGGATTTGCAATCCTAGCGGTCATAACAACAAAAACAACACTCACGCGCGTTCGTGCAATTTCCTTGGGAAACAACAAAGGTTCAAACTCTTTGTCACATTCAACAAAACAGGTTTTTTTCGCGCGCGCGCGCGTGTCGACATGATTCCAACGCTCTTGTGCGCGTGCTGGGGGGGGGGGGGGGGGCCAGATACGTGTCAAATGTAACTATGCGGGCCACTCTCGCGCGCAGGCCGCGCGGGCATGTCGAACTCCAGTTTCAACCTCCATCGCCGACGCGATGGCGCCGTCATCGCCGTCGGCGTGGTCGGCATCGGCGCCGTCACTGGCCCTGCCGTCGTCGCTGCCATTCGTCACCAGTATCGCTACTACCATTGCTAAATAAAAATGTGCGGGTGCGCGGGTGGGACGATTGTTAAGCCAGTGGGATGGGCAACTCACGGCAAACATATATTAATTGCAACACGTACGTAAAGTGCAACACGTTGGTTGCAGCACGTCGGCTGTACCACAGCGCACCAATTTTCCGGTCTTGATTTTTTGACAATATATATATCTATATATATATATACCCTCCCCCTCCCCCTCGCGCAGCAATTTACATACGATTCTGCCCCTATCGCCCATGCTAGCCAGATGATCTCAACTAAAATGGCATGCTCCCCCTCGTCCTCTCCAGAACACCCTATGCGCGCGCACTAGTTGATCACAAATCACC